TGCGGGGGTGGGGGGGGCGCAAGTGGAAAACATGGGCTCTTGAAAGGGAAAGTGTGTGAGAGACGGTTTGGTTAATGTTGGGAAGGTGGCTTCACATCCAATGGGGCATAATACATTGGGGTGTTGGGGTGTATCGTGGTAGGCCCAGCTGCATGCAAAGGAATGCAAGGAACTGCACACTTGGTCTGAGCCCAAAGGCTGAGATCAAGGAAAGGAAAGGAATACGTCTCTTTTACAGTTCTCTTATCACGTTATTGTTTTAACATAGAAACTAGTAGTAATAACCATTAGCAGTAATTTAGTCCTCCTTAAAATTCAGCCACGTATAAAATCTATGAAATAAATTAGTACTAACCCTATCTGAGTGGGAGGAAAACCTTTGTTTGGAGTGGCTCATCTTGTGGTCTAGTTGAGAAAAAAAGTTGATACTTTTAACATGTCATATACTTTAATATTAAAGTGAAAGTCTGGTAAAGGATTAAAACGGGGGTGGGCAAACTACAGCCTACAGGCTGCATCTGGCCCCTGGCAGGTCTTTATCCAGCCCAAGGCAGGTCCCTTGCTTGGCCCAGGCACCATCTGGCCATGGTGTCTTGCCACCCCCTGGGCTGGCAGTGTGGCTGGGGTGGCTCCACAGCTGGACTGCCTTTTTAGACAGCCCAGGTGGTGGCTCCTTCCGGCTGCTGCCGCTCCTCCGGGCCCGTGCCGCTGCCGGCCGCAGCCCCGCGGATACCTGCGCTGTGCAGCCCTGAACCCTTATGCCCTGCTCCTGCTCTGGGCTTGCCTGCCTTCGCGCAGCAGCAGCAGTGCAGGACAGAAGCTGCTGCTCAGAGCAGGGGGGAAAGTACCCCTCCCCCCCCCACCCTCCCCCTTGCTGCTGCTGGCGCTTCCTGGTGTAGCCGTCTGGAGCCTGTGCCACATCGGGCTGCCCTGTGTCTACTCTGTGCTGCCACTGTGCTGGGCAGCCCAGAGGCGGCAGTGATATGGAGTTAGATGCAGGGCAACCTGGCGCAAGCTCTGGGTGGCTACACAAGGAAGCGCCAGCACCGGTGAGGGCGCTTCCCCACAATATACAAGAGTAAGACTTCATTTTGAGGTATTATACAGTCACATCTATGTACACAACAAAACACACACAAATCAGGACAAAAATAATTTTAAAAATAAGATTAAAATATGCTATTGTCAGTGTTTGATTTTTAGTATATAATAATTTGGGTTTTTTTCCGGTTCCAAGATGGCAAACCCCTTTCTCAAAAGGAGTACTTCAGGGGGCAAGAGGAGGGACATCCCATGGCAAAGGTCAGGGGCTAGAGGGCGGGACTTCTGGTCCCAAGATTGTGACCGGGGGTGGGGTACCAATCAAGGGGTGGGGCTAACCTTGCAGCCCTCAACAGCTTGCCAAAAGTTGTTAAGGAGCCTTCCAGCCAAAATAATTGCCCACCCTTGATTAAAATTAAGTTTCTTAATGCATTTCATATTATCCTCCTTATGATGCTTTGAAACTATTTGGAAGGAGTTCTGTGATACAAGCTGAGTGAAAACTCCCCAAATAAATAACTGTAAGCCATTAGAAATTTATACTCATCTGACCTAAATTATTAATGAATTGTCTGCATTGCTGATTATCTGATTATGGGTTGGTTGTTGGGGGGAAAATATAGATTCAAACTCCATTTTGCACACCCCATATGGTTGTAAACTGTATTCACTTTGGGTTTTGCCCTCCTTACAGAGGGCATTCATTGAATTTGCTCAATTTAAGTCCTTGCGTAGTTTAGACAGTACACACACAGGTGTCACGAATACTGCTGTGTGTCAAGTTTATACCAGTTCTTACGTGCATTTCACTTGAATAGAAAAAGGGCTTGCATTTTACTTTTGCTAACCCCTTCTGAGTACAGAGTAGGGAAATGGTGAAATAAATTCAACCACAAAGGGGATCCGTAACTGCTGCATCATGCTAACACATTCAGGGTAAAAGTCACTGGAGAGCCTTTTCACTTTCTGTATTTCCTTTTTTAAAACACTAACATGGTAAATAGATATTTCATGGAAAAACTGCAATTCTTAGAGGCAGAGTCCTTATATGGAGCATGATAGAGAGAAGAGGGTCTTAGAATGCTTGTGAAAAGAAAAAAAATATTTATCATAAGTAAATTAGACTATAGACTGTAGGAGAAAACTAGAGTAGCTTTTTTTTTTTTCTTTTTTTTTTTTTTTTTAAACTGATTGGCCAAAAAACTCATGTCCCAGCTGTACCTGGGTAGTGTATGTTTGTATGATGTTACCTGTGAGGCAGTGCAAATCAAGGTGGAATTCTTTTAGCCATACTCAGTTATTGCCCAAAGTATGGCTTGTTCCAGCTACCTCTCCCTGTATCTAGTAACTCAGTTGACTGCCCAGTCATTAGGGTGTTGGCAAGAGTGGAAAGCTTTTTTTGGAACTGATAGGAAAGCTGTTTAAGAACTTGAGCTTCCACATTGCTTTAGGCTTGCATTGGGTATCTTACTATATTTTCAGTAAGGTTTGTGTGTGCTGTATGGAGGGCAATGAAAATGGTTAGCTGCGGAGCCACCCCAGCCCTGCTGTGTGCTCAGCGGGGGCAGGATGTTCCATGGCTGGACTGCCTTGGCCAGGGGACTGAGGGACCCTCTGTGAGCCAGATCTGGCCCATGGGCTACAGCCCGTTAGTCCACCGATGGCCTAGAAGATCATATTAAACATCTCTGTGATGCATAGTTTCAGTTCTCAAACTGTGGATTTGTGTCTCCAGAGATCATAGGCAGGCAAGGTTCTTTGAGTAGATGTGATATCTTTTATTACACCAACTAAATAGTTGAAAAAATTGTTCTTTGCACGCTTTCGGGCATAAATGCCCTTCTTCAGGCATAGGTAGAGTTTGTTGTCTCCAGAGAGAACATCCTTGTTAACAGCCAGAGCCGTCCCTGGTAGGGGGGTCCGAATCGGGGTGACTGACCCAGGCCCCGCACTTTGGAGGGCCCCCACAGACAGTGCCGTACAGGCATGTGCTGAGGTTGCCATCACTCCATCTGGCCGTGCACCCCTGGGGTTGACTCTGTTAACAGCAATATGTGGAGATGACCTAACAGACCTGATTTACCCACCCTACAGCCAGCCCTATTGTCTCTGCAAGTTTGTGACAGTACACACAGTCAAACCCTTGCCTTTCTCTGAAAATGCCAAGTTTCAAGAAGTTAATTGAATAAAGGATATTAAATAACAAGAATGTACTTTTCATAGAAAACAATAATTAAATTGAGGCTTCCTGACCAGTGATTTAAATCAAATTGATTTATATCACGATTTAAAACAAATCCGCCCTGTCAGAAGTTTGGATTTATTCGTTCTGTTGGCACTCTTGCCTTCATGATTTTTTGTTGTCTGGGCAAATGCCATAATCTTTTTGCACCCTTTATTTGTATAGTAATCCTGAAAAATTGGGATGCAACAATCTGCTGTTTTTCTTTTTGGTTATAATTTTAATAACAGCAATAGGCCCACATTTTCTTCTTATATGGATACCTGTAGCCAGCATTAGATCACTTTTCATGTTAGACTGTCTTTTTAGTTAATGTCAGTGTTTGTTTAAACTTTCTTCCACTGCTCTTGCTTGATATAATGATCAGACTGTTAGTTTAAAGTTGTCTGGAAGAGTGCATTTCTGGCAATCTTCAATCTCTTCTCTTTTCTTTTCTTTTTAATGATCATTTTGTGCTGTGTCAAAGTTGTTTCCATAAAAAGCTTGCAGCTTTCTTATCAACTTATCAACTTCAAGTTTATTTTTGACATGATGAATGATCTCAGCTACTTGAACCATTTGATTCACTTCCGAATGATGCTGGTAGACCTCAGAGAGGACTGGATGGTTTCAGCTGTGACCATGGCATTGGTTACCCTGCAATATCATCAGTGTTCAGCTCTTTTGCTTTAATAGAGAAATTTAATTCGATGGCACACTTTACCTTAGAGACCCTAATAAAGTTTTTAATTTTTTTTTTTGTAGGAAAAATAGGAGTTCCTTCTATCTTCCTGCTTTTCAAATGTTTGATTTAAATTAGAAATATATTGGCTTACTAAAATCCTTTTATTCTCTTGTTTTCTACTACTTGTTTGAACTTAGTCATGTTGAGTGATTAGTAATCGTATGACTAGCTGCTGTTCGTCAGTGCTGATTAGCCGCTTTCCTTTTTATTGTATACGTGTGTTTGTGAAACGGGCAATTAATGAAATCCATGCTGAAAACTAATAAAATTAATCAGCCAGCTTTATATGAAATCATGTTGGTGAAACCAGACTTCTTTTCTAAAATATTATTAGAAGAAAAATTTGAGTCTATTGGGGTTAGCATGTTTTTAGAGCTTTGCAGTTGCATTATGCTCATAAATATGTTATAATGACATTTTTAAAAGTAGAATACAGTTAATACTGTTAAATCACTGAGTTTCCTTTTGTTTCCCTCTGCCTTTGAAACTGACTTACATGATCTTGGTGTTTTTTCCAAAAACATGAAAATTGGTGATTGGTGCACTGATACATTGGTCCCATATTGCATCGGCACTGATATAAGGAAAATTGAGAGTGTCGGCAATCAGTTTTTTTGGGGTCACATGGCCGATAAATGCTGCGTGCATGCACGTGGCCAGGAGCACAGCCTGGCAGCATGGAGACCAGCATCAGGCTGGTAAGTCTGTTGTGAGGAGGGGGAAGGAAAGGGGCCTGGGATGGGGGGCAGATTGAGCCCTCTGCAATGAGGGAGGAAGTGGAGCTCAGGTTGGGGCACAGGACGGAGTAGTCCCCCTCCTAGCACCGCCACTGCCTGCTCTGAATGCAGCCTGGACCAATCCTCTGCTAGGAGGAGCCCAGCCGGCGCTGCCCTGTGCACAGATCTGGCCCCCCGCCCCGGTGCCCTCCTGGGGTGCGTGAAGTGGTTGGAGCTTCCTCCCAGTCCCTGTGGGGGTCCCCCACTCCAGATAAGCTGCTCGTATCTCCATCCTGCGCCCTGTCCCAGCTGGGCAGCGCCTGCCCCAGCCCCACTCCCTCCCTCCCTCCCTCACCGCAGGGGCCTTGGTCTGCCCCTTCCCTCCCCCCACCCCTTTCCCCACAACACTTACCAGTCCAAGCTGCTGAACTCTATATTGGCCATCGGATCAGTAGTATCAGCCAATATGGCACGTTAAAAATTGGCCATCAGTATCAGCCCAAAATATCTCTTATTAGTGCACCCCTAGTGATTATTCATATTATTCAGCTGTGTGCAGTGTGTGCACCAGGGGTGAAGGAAGGATACGATTAAAACAAGAGGGTTTTTCAAACTCCAGATTAATTTTTGGGTTTGAGTTGGAAGAATAAAACTATTGGTGATTGAACAACGAGTAGTCTTTAGCCTGTTCAATACATTAATATTTTGGTTGGTCTAGTTCATAGATGAACTGTTGGAACAAGTGCATTTTACTTCTGAACGAGAGAAATAATGCTTGTAATAGCTTTCAAAGTAAAATTATCTTCACAGCTTTAAACCTACAGATATGTGCCCACCAGTACATTGCACTTCTTGCTTCTACTTCAGGTTTATTAATAAAAATCTTACTTTGTCCTTCCTTTGTCCCATACCAGTTAGATCTGCAGGTTGCTGCTACTTTGTCACATTTTTTTTATTTTTTTTCATAATTTTTCCGTGGTAGCGAATATAACTCATGCAGTAGAACCTAGATTCTTTATAGGTCAGGTTCTTTGCCCCTTGCAAAGATAAAGGTTTGTCAGCTAGCTGGAGGTATGTATGTGTAGCAACAGCAAACAACCAAGGTGCTTCGTATGTTGGCTCTGGCTTGTACTTCAAAGGGTACTAGTTCCCTCAGGAACTCAGGTGTGCGGGACCATTTGTAAGCTGCAGTTGATCAGAGAAGTGACACAGTAGACACACAAGTGGCTTATCCTTAATTTGACTACCTGCTAAGAACTGAGTTGCAAATGATCTGGATATGAATGATCCAGGTTCTGCTGTTTCAACATGTGTGAACAAATGTTTAGTTTTGCCAAGCTGAGCTGGTGGTATGCCAGTAATGTTACCAGCAGACAGCTCTTTTGATTCAGAACTAGATGTTGTAAAAGGAAGCATGTACTGGACCTTTACATGGAGGAATGTTCATATTTTGTCATTCAAACAGAGATGTGGGGCTTAATTTTTTCGTGCTTAATTTTTTTTCGTGGAAAAATTTTCCATTTTTAAAAATGTGTTGTTTCGTAAAATTTATTAGTAACAATGAATGGATGCTAATACAACATTAGGCAAGCTTGGTAGTTTCAAAGTTGTAATTAATGCTTTTCAGGTGATTATCCCTAGGAAGTGTGTCAGAGAGTGCAAATATATTTTATTGATTTGTAACCAGGATTTGTAAATACACTTGCATCACTATTCAAATAAAACATCAGGTTATGAATTCACCTAATTGGCTCTGCAGGTCAAATCGAAACCAAAGCACAGCATATCATGCGCAGGTCTTTGGGTGTGCTAAAATGAGTGTGTCAACAGTTTTTCAGTGCCTTTGTTTGCTTAAATTTAAGAAAAAAAACAATGCAAGGGAAGTCACATGCTATTGTGTATTGTCATTACATTTTTACAAGTATTCCAAATATCATGTCTTTCCACATAAAGCTTTGAATTTGAGTATAACATTTAAACCACATTAAGTGTACTGCGCTTAATTTTTTTCCTAATCAAATATTTCAGGTCACATACTTGTGGCTATTGGTTATTGGGACATAAAATTAACATGAGAGTACTTTTTAGTTTTGTTTTCTAAATATAAGTCAAGTAAACATGCTAAATCAGAAGACACATGTGGGGCATTTGGAAAATTTTCCAGAAAACCCACATCTCTGCATTCAGACACTTTCTTGACTTAAACCTCCCTTCTATACATGCCTTTGCACACTGCAGTTCTTGTCTTGGTACTTCCTGCTATCTTGCCTGCCTGGTTGCATTACTGTAGAATTCTTGCTTTCTTTTATCAGCATTAATCCACCAAAGAGCAGTGATCTATTAGGGGGGTCTGTGTGTGTAAAATATCTGCTCACTTTCTGAATATATTGCGTGCCATTGTGGTGTCCAAATGATATTGCTTTAGAGGGCTAGCTTCTTGGAACAGACACTGTCTCTTCTGCACAACATTGAGCTCCCTGTGGTGCTTCACATAATTGTGTTCTGTATCACTATCTTCAAATTTGGTAATGAGCATGAGCTGTATTGAGTTGATTATCCACAGGTTTCGGCTGAGTGGCACGTAGTTCTCAAGTTGCAGGAGAGGAATGGATGGCTAGCAAAGTGGTCTTACCAGAGTAATGCCGTCTGTCTTTGAGGGGGAGGTATTAGCCATTGTAGAGTGGCTGATCTTTGGAAGTAACCCATGTTTAGTTAACTACATATACAGTCTCACACTGGAGGCTGTTCTGTGTCTGTAGGCAAATAAAGTGTGCGCCTAGGGGTGGACCCCAAGAACAAAGATGGAGTAATTTAGATCAGCTGTATATTATTGTAATGGCAACCGTCTCTCACTGTCTTTAGGGGGTGTTGGTTATAGCGGTGTTGATCTAGGGATGTAGGCAGGAAAGGTTATCTGGGTAAATGTGATCTATTTTATTAGACAACAGAATAATTGGAATAATTGTTCTTTACAAGCTTTCAGGGACAGGCACCCTTCTTCAGGCATAGGGACTCTCCCTATTTCTGCAGATGGGCACCTGTGCCCTAAAGCTTGCAAAGAAGAATTTTTCCAGCTATTCAGTTGGTCTAATAAAATATGTTGCTGCTTTTAATGTGTTCATCCCCACAGGATCCCTGCAAGGGAAGAGTGTATTTATTATTATTATTATTATTATTATTATTATTATTATTATTATTATTATGTCCTGTATAAAGGGAGAACTGAGGCCCCAGAGGAGTAAGGTACTTCGATACATTTTGTAGCTCTTGCCTGGAGAGGCTAAGTTGTATATATAATTATATATACAATTTTTTTTTTTTTTTTCTTCCACACATCAGCTAATAGGGAACATAATAAGAAACTGCCGTGCCCACCAAACTGGTTTTTTGAATCTGCTCCAATGGTGTCTTTAATTCTGGTCTCTCCTTATCAAGGCAGTGTGATGTCTCTGTTCATTTTACCCTGATATTCAGAGAGCTGCTGGGATGGCATTTTGTCATTTCAGTGTGTCGGAGATCAGAGCAGCCGGCCAGCAGCCGCTTCTGACGACCCCCCCCCCCCCCGGGCCGCGTCACTAAAACATTTCCCTCAGTTATAGCGATTATAATCAAGCGTATGGTCTCAGGTTACAGCTAACGATACAACGATTACGATCAAGCGTACAGTTTCGGGTTATAGCTAACGATGACGGACGTGGCGCCGGGAACGAGCTATCGTGCCTGCAGGGCTTTGATACGTCAATATTACGCTGACGGGAAGCTATTGACAGCTGATCAGACTGTCAATTTACTCTGATGATGATCTTAGGTTTCTCCTTAGAGATTCCCGCAGAGGTCTCCCAGAGTTTCTCCGACTTGGGCGGAAGTTGCTAAACTATTTATAGACAGAGGTGTCTCTCAGAGATACCCAATGATGAACTGCTAAATGGAATCTTTAATTATCTGGCAAGCAGCAGTTCTTTGTGTTCTCAGGTTGCTATCAGGTTATAAGGTAGTGGGCTAGGTTTCTAGTATGTTATGTGTGAGGTACCTACGCTTGTTTCTTGACCAGTTGCAGGGATTTATGGCAGGTCTATCCCCTTTCACCCTGACCAGTCTTAAGTTTCGTTTCTCATTTGTGACCTGGGCATAAATTATATACAGCTCTCCGCCAGGATTTTGTTTTAACCCTTAGTTGATCAGATGATGGTCTGAATGGTATCTCTTGCAAGTGACATGGGCACTGATTAATTTGGTTGAGAGACAGTGCAGAAATGCTTAGATATTGCTTGGGACTATGCAAATACTGAAGTGAAACTGTTACATCGTCTGGCCGGTTTAACTGTGATCTTAAGCTACTGACAATTGATCTTTTCTTTACTTTATCTAAAAGTAAGGTAAACAGCCTTATCTTTTCTTTCTAGTAATGAATGTTATAACAATTGAAGATTATAAGAGCACATATTGGCCAAAGTTGGACAGTGCCATAGATCAGCTTTTAACTCAGAGTCCTGGTGATTACATCCCTATCTCCTATGAACAAATATACAGGTAAGAAAAATCTTAATGCTACATGCTGCATAACTCCTTTTTATTTGAATGCAATGTTTTTAGCTCTCATGTACAAGCTGATTATGGCATTGATTTGTGTTCAATAAATGGACTGAATTTTTATGTATTACTGGCATGGCTGCAGAGTCTATTTTTTGTCCCCATTGCACCCATTGTCAAGAGGATTAAATGCAGTAGAAACCAAATACATTTGTGCTTTACTTGTTAAACCAAAACCATGAGAGTCTCTTTAATTGGAAAAGAACAGTGTAATGGTGAAATAATTGCCCCATCATCTCTTTTTGCCATAATCAGGCAAGATATGTAATGCATCTTCTCAATTGTCATAGTTAATGGAGCATAGATGACGGTGGTATGGTAAGTGTCTGAGTGACTGCCGCAAGTGACCTCTTGGGATACGGGTATACTGTTTCCTCGGTGCCATCAGGAATGCTGAGAGCACCAATCCCTGGCAATTAGATGGGGAAGCTGTGTGTGTTCATGCTGCTGTGTTTAAGCTCCCTGAGAGCTTGAGTGTGTGCTCCCTGGGGGTAGTGTGGAAGCAGTTTAGACATACTTTTAGGGACCTGATCCTGCAAGGACCTGAGTCTCCAGTAGAAGATCAGTGGTTTCTGTATCTGGGATGAAAGGGAGTTCCTGTCCTGCAACTGGTAGTTTCCCAGGGAACAGGAGTACAGCTGGGAGGAGGGGGAACAGTAGAAGGGAATACTGCTGCTTTTACTTGGTAAGGTGCTGACCCTTGCTGGTGCCACCAGTAGATGGAAAGGCACTTCTTATGTTTTCAGTCTGAGGACTGGGGATCTTAGCAGTGGTGAAAATAATTCAGTCTTTCAACGCTGACTTTCATGGGGGGTTTAGCCTCTTGCTCTGGCATCTCCTATGCTCTTTATTTCTCCCTCCTGATAGTCTCCTACCTAGACCCTTAGACAGAGGAGCCTGACTGGGTAGCTGAAACACCTGCTACTTGGAACACTGCTTGTTACTGCACACCTAAAATATATTTGTAATATTTCAATAATTTGAAAATAATTAAAAAAAAAAAAATCCTACTTACAGCTTTTAATGGGCTCTAGGCCTCAGTATCTCTGTCAATAATTAGGAAGGGCTAGGTCAGCAGCATTACTGAATACTGATACTTTCTTCAGAATTGATCAGAAGTCTCCTATCTTCCCATCTAGAAATCTCAAACTAGAAAATAGCCATCAGTAAAGAAGGGTAAGCATCTATCAGCCTGGACCTCTGACATACGATAGGAACACTAAGTAAATGGCTTAATACATGGAGCAAATGCAAACCTGGTTTTGGTTTTCAGATAATTAGACTTCCTCTTTTCTCTTAGAAAGAGTAATAACTTATGTTGTCATGAGACAATAAATTTGTATATGCACGAAGATTTTAAACTTCTTCCAAGTGATTCTTAAGTTCCTGAATTACGTTTTATTAGTATTAGAGTAATGTCTAAAGACCTCAACTGAGATTGGAGCCTCCTTGTTTTAGACACTGGGCAAACACAAGGGTATATCTTCAGTTGCAATAGCATGGATAAAGTAGGGTGTGAATTTTGAAGCATGGTAACTGTTCTGAATAACTGGGTATTACACCAAAACAAGAATGCCTCAACTTTCAAGTTAGGACCAACTCGGTGAGGCAGGCCTACAGAAAATAACGTGCCTCAAAGTTTTTAAGCAAGCAAAATATATTGAAGGTAGGGAAAAAGAAGTTGTGGAACAGGGATACGGAGAGAAAGTGGCCTGCCTGAGCACTTATGGGAAGTTTGTAGCAGAACCAAGACTTCTCTCAGTTAGCACCTTAACCCTGATACTTAGGGACCTATGTAATTCACCGTTTCACAGTTTTTTGTGGAAACTGCAAAATCTGGGGTCGTCTGCAAAATCAACCCCCCCAAAAATTAATAAAAATAAAATGCTATCTCCCCAGTGGGAACCAGCAGTCCTTGCTGCTGGGAGGGGAAGGTGCTGGCTTGCATGGTGGCATGAAGGGCAACAGATAAGATAGCAGACACACTCTTGTCCCTCCTGCTTGCTAGAGCCTCTCCACCAATCAGCGCTGAGGGGTGGGGCTGTCACAAAATGACAGTGGAATTGGAGCTTTAGCCTGCAATGAACCTGCAAAAATTGACAAGCCCCCCTGCGATTTAGGTAGACCCCCTATGGACAGCCATTGCATGTTTTGGACGTGAGTGAATTGCTGCATCTCTTTGTCTTTCATTGTGTGAGGGAGCTTTTGGACCCTCAAATGTAAGGTATGCTGACCAAAGTGGCCATCTTTCCTTAACACGTAACTAAAATACCTTATTAAAGTCTGTTTGTACATAATTTATTTGATTTATTTCTAACTCATAATAAGAAAGCAAATTTTTGTAAAGAGCCTCTTTCAGTCGTGGAAAAAAAGTGAAATGGGTAGGTTATACTTTGAAGATTTTTTTAAACGCTTTTTAAATCTAATCAAATTAACTTGAATTTTGCAGTACTGGGATATTCATTTTCCTTTCAGCTGTTATCTAATTGCTCTATTTGGGAATTTGATTTCTCACTGAGGTGCAAGTCTGTCAAAAGGATTGGCAATCTGACTCAGACTGCAATGAGGAACTGAAAACAGGATATGACAATATAGAAATCAGTTTAAAATAGAAATGTTCAAATAATTTTTGTAAAAAAAAAAAAAAAATGCATGTAAAAAATATGTAAATGCATATGCAGACTGGTATTTAACTATATTGGCCCCTACAGGATCGCAGAGCAGGAAAAGTTTAGAGTACTGGTCTGTAGAGTATCACATAATTTAATTGCATTCAGTATAATTGCATAGTATTTCAGAATGAATCTCTTGACTTTGTTTAGGGTGGATGTGACTTTATATTGTACAGTTTATTTATTAAAGAAACCACAAAGCCATTTTCTGTATCTGTGTAGCTGGTATATTTGCAAGAGATCACTAGCCCACAAACCAGTCCTTCTGTCTCTTATACGATCTGCCTTTCTCCTCTGATTCAGATCACCTTGCTGTGTTCCTCAGATTTCAGGAAGTGCACTCTGTTTCCAAAAGCTTGTCTCATCTCTCATCTATATGGTTGGTTCAGATCACTGAGAAATCCTTGCCTCTTGCATATTTCCTAGACCATCATGGCTACAACATCACTCCAACTTGCTGGTGTAATCTGACATTATTGTATCATAAGGTGCATCTGGCTATTTTCAGACTTAGTGCTGTCAGTAGACTCTTTCGGCGTCTCAGTGAGGCGCTAATGGTGGAAACTACATGGAAGAAAATAGAGATGAAGCGCACAAAAGCAGGAGAAGCAGAGGTTGCTAGAAGATTTCGGAAGTGGCTGCAAAAGTGGCTGCTGGAGAAGACCTATACACATATATAATGTGTTCTGTATAGTAAATGGGCATACCTTCTGGTGCTTCTAAAGGAACTAAATAAGAACAACATCAGAAAGAGCTCATTGACTGTGTTAATGGTAATCCTACTAAAAACTATTCTCTAGTAGCTAGACAGGTTAATGGTAATTGATGTGTTGCTTTTCTACCTCTGAAGCTGTAGGTTAAACCCCTACCACTTCACTAGCATTATTGGGAGGTCCTGTTCTTCAGTTCATAGTTTGGTCAGTATTGCACATTTGCTGCAGGTGGCAGTGAAACAAAGGAATTGGAGTTGAAGAAATTGGGTGCTTTTTATCAGGGATGTAAAGAAGGTTTATATCTCTGGGTTTAGCCTTCCATTTTTAATTTTTTTTAAATTAAAATGGCACCTAGAGTTTGTGAGCAAGACCCTTTTGTAATAGATACTTGTTCAAGTGCATAGTAAGAGGCAGCCCTGGCCTTAACTTACTTGCATTCTAATAGGCAAGAGAATAGGGAGTAGAAACAGGTACATGGAGATGTCTAGAACCAGGAATAGGACTCGTGTCCCATCTGACCTATAACTAATTTGACTTGCTCTTTCAAAGTGCAGCTTTGCATGGATAAAGAACACAAGTCTTATTAAAATAACTGGAAAAGTTTTAATAAACTGGTCTCATGATGAGCTTAGTTTATCATCTTGGTGTAAGCAATGTACATAGTGTATTTGCACTGTTTTGTGGGTATCTTCGTTATATAGATGTTCATGATGGAAGAACAATGAAATATTTTAAAAATCAGACATAAAATTGATGATCTGACTCTAATCAGGCCCCATCATAAAATGCAGAGCTAAAACTTTGTTTTCTTCACTTCAAGTCTTTATATTACTGTGAAGATGAGGATTTGTACTGCATTTCAGGACAATGGGTGATAATTTATATGCTCTGATTCTGAAATGTGACCAGCCAAGCTTTATCCTTGTGTCTAAATTTGTGGCTTTTGATGGCTTAAAGCATATGTAAACGCTAGTTCATTATAACTTTATGACTACTAGTGTTATATATTTTTATGTAGTTTCATGAGAGAGAATGCTTTTAGGGTTTAATCTATGCTGGCTCAGTGGTCTTCCAGCACAGAGTTTGTGGTAGGATTGAGACTTTAACTGTAGTTCTGATATACAGGTTGTCAAAGTCAGGGTGGTTAAAAATCAACTATTTAAAAAAATCAGATTTTTTTTTAATTTAATCTCTTTTTTATTATTATTTTTGTTAGGATGCTTTAAAAAAATAAACCTATATAAAGATAGTTGTAATTTAAGATATATTACATTGTAAAGATATCATCATGGACTAGGGATTATAACTTCTAATTATATAGTATTAGCGACAATATAGTCATGTAACCTTTTTAGAAAAGTTTTATAAATAGGTTGCAACCGGCCATGGACTATGTTAGGGGCCCAGTCTTATGGGGTTCCCTGAGACTCTTCTATAGATTAGTAAAGATTGAAGAAAACCACTCTACCCAGTGGGACTCAGTGCTCAGTTCAGAAGATCCCATTAGAAGATCACAGTGCTCTGTGACGCTTAGTTTCAGTTCTCAAACTGTGGATTTGTGTCTTCAGAGATAACATCCTTGTTAAGAGCAATATTTGGGGATGCGAGATAACAGACTTAGTTACCCACCCTTCAGTCCTTTTGTCTCTCTGCAGGTTTGTGTACACACAGTCAAGCCCTTACCTAAGTGCAAAGTTTCAAGAACTTAAATGAATAGAGGATTGTTGGGGTGGAGTAGATCTGGGCAAGGAGAGGGAGTCTGGAGATAAATGCAAGGAGTGGGTGGGGGGTAGTAGAAACAAAACAGAAACATTTTGAGCAGAGTACTCCAGAAGTCTTGAGGAACAAGTTTCTGAGTATAGCCTCTCCGTTGATTTTGAGATCTAGTGAGGGAGTGGTATGGTAGAAGGGAAAATGTATGATGGCCGCAGGTTTGCCAGGCCATAAAAGAGGGAAGAAATCAAAGATGAGCAGAAATCTAGAAGAAAGTGAGGAAGTCTCAATCTAATAATATATGGCTGCAGCATTCATTTGATGTTCCCCTAATTTACTGTGGCAAAAGTATCCCCACAAAATCCATGATTAGTCTAGTGAATTGGAGATGGTTCACCTCCCAGCGACTTCATGAGCATCAGCTTCAGTTAGCTCTGGTAAATAAAATAACCAAATCATAATTCAGTTTTCTGATGTAGCTGCAAAATTAATCTGAAAAATATCAAAATAAATCACTGCTTTAAATTGTATAAAGTGTACCTTCTAAAAATGAAACCTACATCTATTTCTGAGTTGTGAATTATGTGTATTAAGGTTATATCAAACAACGAGAATTGTTGTTTTTGTAGAAAATGATTAAATTGAGGCTTTCTGACCAGTGATTTAAATCAATTTGATTTAAATCAAATCCACCCTGGTCAGAGTTGCATCTTGTCACCCCTAAACTGACTTGAACAAAATATTGTGAAGTCTGTTGCCCTCCATTGCAAAGTGTGTAAATTCATAATTTGTTCCTATATTTGTTTCTGCAGTTGTGTGTATAAATGTGTATGCCAGCAGCATTCGGAGCAGATGTATAGTGACCTAATAAAAAAGATAACTAACCACTTAGAGAGAGTCTCAAAGGAGCTGCAGGTAAGAAGCTGCACAATCTATTTTTGTTTTTTTCCCCTCTTCCCCTTTCCCCCTAGGATCTTTGATTATAGTATGAACAGAGAATAAATGGTTTATAAAGAGGGGTTGCTATTAAGACTCTACTGCTTTCAATTTAGTGAACTGGTATAACACTAAAAAATACCAAGAGGCTTTTGAGATTTTAGGCAGTAACACAAGGGATAGGTCAAATTGCACAGCACTGCCTTACATATTTGGTTCACGTTTGATAGGTTGTCATCCCAACCATAAGGGCTAAAATTGGGTGCACTTTTTAAATGAAAGCCATAGTATGGGTTACATAAATATCAAGATCTGTTCCATGTAAGGAGAACTTGTAAGTATTAAACTGGAAGGGAGGTATAAATTGGGTGGTATTTAATATGGATTGTGTTAGAGACAGTTGTGTATTTTTCATACGTGTCCCTAGATGTCAGTGGTTTATAGCAATCTTAATACAGTTTATATGATCCTATCACATTCTGCATTTCTCTTAAATGTGCATTCACTTCTTTGTGTGTATTGAGTGTTTGGATCTTCTGAGTTAATATTTCTTAAATAATTACTGTATTGACAGTGCGTTTACCATAGTCTAGACAGCAAACTGAAAATGGAAGATGATTGCTATATTTTCTTTTTCTTCTTAAGGTCATTCTGTCCATATATATTTCTGTATTTCTATGTACCAACATACAGTTAATAGTTTAACCCAAGTTGTAAAGAGCCTTTGTAATTGGGTGTCTGACTTGGTCAGTTTTCAGAACAGAGTATATGTCAATGGTGTGATGCAGAAGTTGAGCATAAACTCCAAATATTCAGGAGACAAGCAAACAAAATGAAAATTCACTTCCTTCTAAAAACCAACTACTTTTAACAATGTTTTGGATAAGTGACAACTAGATTGTAAGATAGCTTTGAATATTACTTAGATCTGCTTTACTTTTGGCTGTTTAATACATGGACCCATCAAAATATAATAGTGCAGTCATAGTGACAATAACTCACAGCTTCCCTAATATTGCTTAGTTCATAAAATTGAAACTAAATTTGGAAAGCAAGGTGTTGTTTGGTATGTAGATATTTATTTTGAGCACTAGGAAATGATTACTGTATTCTTCAGGGCTTTAAAGTAAGTGGGGAAATTGGAACAAAGTTTTCATAATATCTTAATTCCCCAATAAGAAACACTATAGATATTATGACTATTCATGATTTCCTGGAAGCCACAAAAAAACGGTTTCTGTGAACCCTGCAAAAATGGCAATCGCTGTGATTTTGGCTTGGAATGGCCAGGAAAAAAAACCCAGCCTTGCCCAGCAGAAATTAAGTAGATCCTAATTATGATCGTCTGCTACAACTGATGCTTGAATTGTACTGTTGGCCATTGTTCTAAAACTGTCTAAGCCAGTGTAGGTAATACCATTTTATTACATGACTTATAGATGTGCACCGATATATCGGTCCATATTGGCATGGCACCGATAAAAGGAAATTTGACCTTATTGGCAATTGGCTTTTCTTGGCCAGCATAGCCGATAATGTCACCGATTAAATGCCGCATGCATGTGGTCAGGATTGTGGCCCGGCAGCTTGGAGAGTAGGTTCCGGCTGGTAAATGTGTGGGGGAAGGAGCATAGGGAGGGGGCAGATTGAGATCCCCACAGTGAGAGAGGGTGTGTGCTGGGGCTGAATCTGAATTGAATATGGGCTGTTTTGCCACACCCCTATTAATTACTTATATTGCAAAACTATCTATACTTTGAAACTAAGAGTCTGAAACAACCAACTGAGAGGTTCAAGTTTTTCAGAGTTTACAGAGGCAGATAGATTAAAGTTTGCTCTGCCTAGATGCATTACAGTGCTTCTGTTAAAATCAAAGGTGCTGTTTTTGACACAAGCTATTGCAAGAATAATTGAGAGAAATACTTAGTGCAACCTGTGTTCTTGCAACAGCTTCTTGGCATATGTTTGATGCACCTTGTGGCAGGTGACAGGATGATTATAATAGAGCATGATGTGATCTTTGACTTTGTTAGATGATTTTTGTCTAGAATGGGTCATATGATTTGAGACTTGCAGATTTTAAGACCCATTGTTTGGCCTCTCTTCCTACAAGACCTCTGCGCAGCAAAACTCATTGGCAGTTATTCCCATGAGCACTTGTTTCCATTTCTGCCAGCTTATTTGTATGTTGGCATTTGGAGAATTCCAAAATATGCTTCAACAATATGTTCTTTTTTTTTTTTTTATATGTACTCATAATTAAGCAGGAGAGGAGCTAGACATTTTAATTAGCTATCTTTCATTTTCACAGTTTAACTCTGTTGTTTCAAAACATCTTTGCCTTGGCTGTGTTTATCAAGTGATCAGGTAGAATCACCTATAAAGATTTATTATGCATTAAGATGTGCTTTGGATTCCTTCTGTAGGGCAGTATTCCCATGTGCTTTCAGCTATTTCCAAATATTTCTAAGTTAATAGCTGCAATATTAACTGTTAAAAATGACACTTTTTGCAGCATATTCTATCTTCCTAACCTCTGTTTAACTAAATTAAGGTACTGATATATATAGTGCGTGTATGTTTCCTTGGTTACTCACTGAAGGGAGGAACGCATTTAATATTGACCTTTAATCTTCCAACAAGAAAAAGTCGTATCCTGACATGTTAACCATTTTCTTTGTTTTTATTCTCCCTGAATGTTTTATGTTCATAATTACTTTACTTTTCTCTCCAGCTCCATGAATCTAAGTTCTTAAAGTGCAATTTGTATTTGGTGTAGATTAAATGGATGAGTTAACTGCATGGTTCTGTATAATTGGGCATTCTTTAATATTTCTACTTCAAGATGTGATTTCTCTCTAAGGCCTCATTTATACATACAACTTGCACTGGTTTTACTTAAATCAGTATCAGCATTGTCTCTTTGGGTTACTAGAAGCTATTACAGTGACTTAAACTATGACAACGTAATTAATATTTAAACTACAGATTTAGTTTAAAGCTAATGTGAATACACGTGTAAGGTGTCATGAATTCACCATAAAACCCAAGTTGCCCTTTGGATTTGGCGGTATGACCTGCATGGATAGTCTCCTAAATTAGATTTACTTCTGTGCTGTTTAGTCTCCTCTTCTAGCTTGTTTGAAGCTGTTCAGCTGTATCATTTTTGTCTGTCTGTATTATAGTACTTGATACAAATGTAATTGTGATTATATCTTTGTATTACAGCCAAGGCTGTTTTAGTAAAGCACTTATTAACCCGAGTGATCCTCAACTATTCGTGCTTAGAAGAGACAATAGCTGAAAATTAGCATGTTCAAGCATCGTTTGCTCTCAAATAGTCACTTTAAAGAAGGGGTGTCCAAGAGTAACACCTAGATATGGGGGAGAACTTTTCCACTGAGGGGCAATTACAAGACAGGTGGCTATTGGATCAGCCAATATCCATGTCTGAAAAGATTCAGCTATGTTCCTGGTCTTAATTGTATCAGGAAAGATTTCTCATCTGATAAGCATGTACCTGTGGGGGGTGAGAGAGGGCAAAAAGAAAGGCATGACTTGCTTTATTTTCTCTGGGTACAGGAGAGGCTGGAATCCTTTAGTTTAGTTTAGAGGTTCCCAACCCCTGGGCCGTGGCCTGGTACCAGGCCGCGAAGGAATGACTGCCAGACTGGAAGTCCGGAAGTGACCAGCATACTGCAGACCAGCAGCCAACTCTTTTTTATCCTGAGTCTAAAAAAGGGTTGTCTGCCGGTCTGCAGTATGCCAGTCGCTCCAGTCTGCAGTATGCTGGTCCGCAGTTTGGTGGTCCACAGTCTAAAAAAGTTGTGAACAACTGCTTTAGCCAGAGAAAAGCAGAATACACAGACAGGCTGACAGATGTAGAAGGCTCCAGCTTGAGGTCAGAGGCAGGGTCTGCTTGCTGACCTGGGAAGCTGGCTAGGGACTACATCCTTGGATTTTAGGGGCATGCTAAGAATAGGTTGATTTTTTTTTTTTTTTTTTTCCTTTGTTTCCTCATGTATCTTTGTATGCATCTCGGCACATGGTTTCTGGATTCTTATATTTGTTCTTAATTTTTTTTTTATATCAAATCCTTTAGTTACCTTATTGTAACCTACTTGATGTCATTGATACTTTATGATCCCAGAGTATTTTGACCATTCAGACTTGCCCACTCCACAGAAAGGGGGATCCCTCTTTTTTATGAGTGCATGACCAGACGGGAGTGTGATCATTCTAGCCAGCAAAATCCCCTCTGCTAAGGGCTGGCAAGGTCTGAGTGAGATGGGGAGGGCTGAAACACCACAGACCAAGGAGTTGGCCTCTAGAGCACCTTGCTCAGTTCTCACCCAAAGATGTAGAAACACACAGGGATTATGTCCTAAGGGTGCACCCAGGCCATATCTGGGGCCAGGGCCCATCACAGAGTACTAAAATCTTGCCTCTATACAAACCAGTTCAATTTTGTCTCATTCAGCTTTGCTTGCTATGATTTGAATTTCTCCAAGTTCTTTAAACAAGCTGAACCAGCTTTCCTGTGAGTGAGGAGCAAGTGGTGCAGAGGTGCATAGCTCTGACTTGAGGGCTGTTTGTGGGATATGCTTTCCAATAGAGGCCTGCCACTCATGGGATCTGCACTGAGTTGGAGATAAGCTTACGGCATACTTGCTAAAGGGAAACTGAGCTGCGTGTGCTGGCACACATACAAATTCCAGGACTTATTTTGATTTTTTTAATACTTTTCATTTAATAAACAGGGTGGGCCACTAGGATTTTCATGACAGGTCACATGAGGCCCTCGAGGTCCTGTTGTGCACCCCTGGTTTGGAGCTTATTCACTGTAAAAGTGCGTTTCAAATACCAATTGAAAGAAATGGAAAGTAGTTGCTGCTTATAAAGAGGGAAGGATTAGATTCCAAGGTAAAGAAGGGGAGCCACGGTCCAAATAAAAGCCTGAAATTTTCTGCTAGTTGCTT